CTCTCTCTCTCTCTCTCTCTCTCTCTCTCTCTCTCTCTCTCTCTCTCATTAATTTTTGGTACGCAGGGATGCTTAACCACTGAGCCACACCCCAGCCCTTTTTTGGTATTTTATTTAGACACGGGGTCTCGCTAAATTGCTGTAGCTGGCTTTGAACTTGAGATCCTCCTTACTCAGCCTCAGGAGCCGCTTTTCAATAGCTCCTGTAAGGAGACACACGGTCTTGTAAAGAGGCAGCATGGTCTTCTTTTAACAACAAAAAGCTTTATAAACAGCACGGGAGCCCCCAAAGGGAACTAGAGAAAACGAGATCCAAAGTCCTGTTGTCTATAATCATTCTCAATTCATACCTTCCTTCCTGTATGTCTGCTCTCCCCCTCTAAAAACAAAATCAAACAAAGCACAGTAAAAATAAAAAGAGTGCATCCGCGATGCACAGCGGTGCAAGAGCAGGATCGCGGCAAATCGCCCAGTTCCCTTCCTTCTTAACTCTCAACTTCCGACCCCTCCCAGGTGGAGATTCAAGCACCGACTCTCCAGTGCTTTAGCGTTATTTCTCCAATCATAGCTGTGTCTGTTTCGGTGACGTCACAGTCTTGTTTCCTTCCTAGCAACACAATCTCTGGGCACGGTTTCTGGGTAAACTTGGAAACCCCAAACGCCAGTTCTAGCTCCCGGTGAGGAGCTCCCTGGGGCTGCACTGCCGGAGGCTGACCACCAGAGGGCAGTCCCCGCCCAGGGGCCTTGGGCGAGGGTGACGTCGCTCTCGGGCGCAGCCTCCCAGGTTCCAGGGAAGGGAATCAGGTTCTACCCTGGCCGCGGTGGACGCGCGACAGGACTCTGTTGTTAAGGGACTGTTCGCCCTGAATGTGGTCGGTTGGAGACTCGGAGTTTACTTTTCTCACAAATTTGACAGCATATTTACGCCCTGTCCCAAGTGAGGCCGACCGCGGGCAGCGAGAGCAACCGCAAGGCGGAGATTCGGTTCCGGTGCGGTGACGATCCCGCCCTAGGGATCAAAACGACCCCACCCCAGGTGAGACCTGCCATCATAACAACCCGCTTCTGGAAAAGCCTGGCTCCTGGACAGCCGATCCCACCCCAGGATAACCCCGCCTCTGCACAGCCCCTGGAACAGCGCTGCATATGGACAGTCCCGCCTCTGGACAGACCCGCCTCTGGGTAGACCCGCCTCTGGACAGACCTGCCTCTGGACAGACCAGCCTCTGGGTAGACCCGCCTCTGGGTCGCCAGCCCCCAGGATAGCCCCGCCTCTAAATAGCCCCGCCTTTGGACTGCCTACCCCCTACCCGACGGCTCCGCCCCTGGATGGCCACTCCTCTGGACAGTACCGCCTTTGAGTAGACCTGCCCCTAGGAAGTCCCCGCCTCTGGACAGCCCGCCCCTGAAGCAGCCTCTCCACTGGTTAGCCCCACCTCTGAATAGCCCCACCTGTGGGTAGACCCGCCTCTAGATAGCCCCGCCTCTGGACTGCCCAACTTCTGGAGAGCCCAGCCACGGGATGGCCCCGCAGCTGGACGGGCCCGCCGCTGGACAGCTCCGCCTCTGGATAGGTCATTTCTGGACAGATACCCCTCTGGACAGTACCGCCTCTGAACAGCCCGCAAAGGGACAGCCTGCACTGCTAAAGGCTGACCATCAGAGGGCTCAATCTCTGGATGGCCCACCACCGGGACATCCCCGCCTCTGGACAGCCCCTCTCCCCCATCACAGACCACCTCTAGGATAGGCCCGCCTCTGGACGCCCCGCCTCTGGACGCCCCGCCTAGCACAGCCCGCCTCCAGGATAGCCTCGTCTCTGGCTAATCACGCCTCAGGATAGCCCGCCTGAGACTGCCCCGCCTCTGGACAGCCCCCAACACAGCCCCGCCCCAGAACAGCCACGCCTTTGGACAGCCCTGCCCCGGGACAGCCCCACGTCTGAACAGATGGACCCTGGAACAGCCCTGGCCCAGGACAGCCCCGCCTCTGGAAAGCCCCGCTGCGCCTCGGCAGCTGCAGTCTACCCCGACTCGGGCGAAGAAGTGTGAGTATTTCAGTCCATCTGTCTCCTAGAGTGCAGGCGGGTGGCCGAGCCGCTGGGGGACACGGGAAGGGTGCGCCCCAAGGAGCCAGAAGGAGCCGGACACCATTCCAAGTGGGCGAAATGTCTCTTCTCTTAGGTCTAGGTTTTCCATATACTTTCGTTAATCTGCTGCTATTTGCCAATTGTATCAAAATATATTTCAGTATTCTCTGAACTTAACGACAAACGTGTGCGTGTTACCTGCGGTGCCGGCCGTGCTTGCGCATGTGCAAGCACATTTAAGTGGAGTCTCCGGGTTTGCGTTTCAGGACCCATTACTCATCTGGGGTTTTTGTGTTTTCCTGTCAGACTAGGGAGAAATGAAAGACTGCTTGTTTTCGCAGTTAGTTAACAGGATCTTGAACTCCAATTTCTTGATCTCACGCTGCTGCCCTTTCCCACTCCTAAACTCTAAGCTGAGATCACCCAATGCTCTTACTATCCTGGAAACAATACTATGAAAGAGGAGGTAGATGGGAAAGGGAATGAGGGAGAGATTTCCACAGGAAATGCAGGGCACACTCAGGGATGCCAAACCTACTAGAGAATTTCTGAAAGACAGTGACAGGGGGAAAAAGTCTCATAAACAATGGAGTGCCAGACCTGGAGGACTTAAAATCCAGGGTGAGACACAGCAAGCTTCACCTCGTGGGCAGTGGATGCCATGTGAGAGTTCTTATTGGATTTTAAGGAAGAATATTGTAGATTGAAATGCAACCTGGGGACTAGAACCAGGTTTAGTCTACACATGAATGTAAACCAAAGGGCTCGACATTGGAGAAGATTGGCAGAAGGAACTGGTTGGAGACAGAGGGCTCAAGTTGTTTGACCCCTGATTTAGCTTCTTTCCTCAAAGCAACACCTGATGCAAGGACTGGCCTGCTGGTGGTTTATTTGGGAAGACAGCCCCAAAAGCCCCAGTGACGAAATGGGGAAAATGATACCCGGAAGGAGGGAACCCAGTAAGGGCTTGTGGCTGAGCTCTTGCCACTGTTCAGAGGAGCTCAGTCCCTCCAGGGCCATCTGAGGGGATGCTGTGAGATGCACCTCAAAAGACTCTAGGAATGTATCCATGGCTCCCTCCACTGGGTGAAGGTACCTAGAATGTCCATAACCACATGTGGGACTAACCTGTGCATCTGAGTGTACAGGAAAGTCCCCATGGTGAGCCCCTAGGTGAGGTGAGGGAAACAGCAGGGACACCCAAAGCACCAACTGCATTGCCCACGTTGCTTGGGGAAGCTAAAAGGGCAAAGCAGGATGAGCATTGAGTTTTCTCAGTATTCACTGTGCATACCATATGTGTGCACATCTTCAGAAACTGTCCTCCAAAGGATGTGATTCTCATTTTACAGGTGGAAAACCAAGCCCAAATAACTTACCAGAAGGCACTGCTCTGAAGGGAACAATGTAATGAGTTCAGTGTTAAGCACACCAAATTATAAAGACCTCCAGAAACTCCAGAATACCAAACAGGGACCTCCCCAGGCAGATAAGATATAGCAACAGGCATTTCCAGCTCACATAGTCAAAGCTGTCCGAACCAATGCAGTTTCTGGCAAGTGATGTGGCTTTTCTGTCCAAGGAAATCAAAATGAATCTACCAATGCACACCAGCTTAACCCTGGCCTTGACCTGAGGGCATAGGAAGGAGAAGGAGCTGGATCTGGTCCTCCCTGCCCTGGTTCTCCAGCTACCCTGGTGCTTCTTCACTGATCAGGGGCCAGGCCTGTAATGCTCAGCCCCTGCCACCTTGTGGGTTTTCCCTTTAATACCACCTTCTCATCAGTGTCCTTCCTGCCATCCAATCTGAAATATCCTCCAGTCCCTCCATATCTCACTGCCAGGCTTTACTTTCATGACAGGGATTATTTGATGCTGCATTATATGTCTCTTTGCCTTCCTGTTTATTCATTGTCCTGTTGGGGTCCTTTTCTGTTTTGTCCCTGGATTTACTCCTAGTGTGAGAACATGCGTGGCCCACAGTGGGGAACCAGTACAAGTTGCCAGGTGAATGAATTTAGTTCTTTGTTTCACTCCTTCCTCCATCTGTTCTGACCAACCTGAGACTTTGCTTTTCTCTGCAGCAGTTGGTAGAACCATGGCACCAACTCCTAATGCTGCTTTCGAGACCCTCATGAAAGGAGTGACCAGCTGGGATATCTCCAAAGGCCCCATCCCCAGTGAGCTCCTTCTTATTGGAGAGGCTGCCTTCCCAGTGATGGTGAATGACAGAGGCCAGGTTCTCATCGCTGCCTCCTCCTATGGCCAAGGCCGCCTCGTGGTCATGTCCCATGAAGGCTACCTGTTACATGCGGGCTTGGCTCCATTTCTCCTCAATGCAGTGGGCTGGCTCCGTTCCTCCCCTGGGGCTCCTATTGGAGTGCACCCCTCCCTGGGTTCACTAGTAAACCTCCTGAAGGGCTCCGGGGTTGAGGCCCAGATTGAGCCAGAGCCTAGAGAGGCCCTGGGTGTTTACTGCACCAGTGCCTACAGTAATGGCTTGACCGCGAGGCTGGTCCAGTTTGTGAAACAGGGAGGGGGCTTGCTGATCGGGGGCCAGGCCTGGTATTGGGCCAGTCAGCATGGCCGTGACAAGGTGCTGTCCAGCTTCCCCGGGAACCAGGTGACAAGCATGGCTGGAGTGTACTTCACTGACATCCATGGGGACAGAAGCCACTTCAAGGTCTCCAAGAAGGTGCCCAAGATCCCGCTGCATGTCGGGTGAGTGTGTCTTCCCTAAATAAGGAGTGTAATCATGCTTAACAATAGGCTCGATCTCCTCACCTCCAGTGACCTTCCATTTCAAGACCAGTGGTTTTCCACCTAGGTTTGGAACCACCACAAATCAAAAAGAGCACAGTCAAATGCACCAAGACACAAGAGGGGTTGGTCCTCACCACCAGTCCCCCCTGTGACCAAAGCAGTATCCACTTAATAGAAAAGCTTGTCTTAGAGTCCATCTCCGTGTGCCGTGCCTAGTACATACAGAGTGCTTATCAATTTCTCTTAAGTCATGGAATCAACTGTGGTTTGCAGAGCTCTTTATTATGGGCCAGGCCTCATTCTTTTTTTTTTAATTTTTATTTTTTTAAATACATGACAGCAGAATGCACAACAATTCTTATTACACATATATACCATGATTTTTCATATCTCTGTTTGTATATAAAGTTAAGTTGACACCCAGTTTGTTTCTTCATGCATGTACTTTGGATAATGATGTCCATCACATGTATAGTAGAGGTCTAGCAGAGATCAAAACAGTCAAACCATGCTGTTATGAAGCTTTATTCCACTGAAGAATTGGACAATTAGGGAACCAAATAGAAAGCTTTTTATAAGAACCACAAGGTAAAATAAAGTTGGGGGCTGGGATTGTGGCTTAGCAGTAGAGTGCTCACCTAGCACGGGGCGGGACCCGGGTTTGATTCTCAGCACCACATAAAAAAAAAAATAAAAGGCATTGTGTTGTGTCCATCTACAAAAGAGATATTCTCTCTCTCTCTCTCTCTCTCAATAAATAAATAAATAAATAAACTTGGGCACAGAGCTAGCCTGATGTGACAAGGAGGTGGGTACAGGCTATTATTATCTGGAGTCTATGGGGAATGCAAATGAGTCAGCTAAGCCAGGGTTTGATGGTACCTAATCAGAAGGAGGGAGTATAAGGAGCAAGGGTAAAAACCTAATCCTAAGCTAGTTTGGTGCATTCCAGGAAGATCAAGGAAGCCAGAATAATTAGAGCTGAGTGAATAAAGCCTGCATCAACAGGAGGTGAGGCTATCTGAGAACTGTTTGTCCACAGCTAGAACCACAGATGTTCATAGGGTGATGGAGAGGCAGTTTGGAATTCATATAGAGGAATGATTTGATGTGACTGTTATTTCCAAAGGAACCCTCTTCCTGAATGTGAACAGACTATAGGAAGCAAAGGTTGAAGTAGGAGATGGATCAAGGGGCCCCTGAAATAGACCCTGTGAGAGGTGGTGGTGACCAGTTAGGTTGTAGCAATTAAACTACTGGGAAGTGGTTCATTTGTTGGGTACATTTCAAAAGTAAGACACAGAAGTCTTGGCTGGTGGACTGAATAAGGAGAAAGAGGGTTAAAGAGCAGTTGAAATGTCTGGCCAGAGTGACTTAGAGGCAGGCGGGTATTGCCAAATGGGACATTACAAGAAGACAGATTACAGGAGATTGGGTGTTTGATTTTGGATATTTTGTGTTCAAGATATTAGAGACTGTGTTTTTCCATGTATAACAAAAGTCTGACTACAGTGAATTAACCACGAAGGAGTATTTTTCTCATGCCACTTGAAGTCTATGGAGGTAGGTAGTCCAGACCTGTGGCAGAGCCTCTCTGGTGTCTCCCGTTCATTCTCTCTCTGTCTTTCCTGTCATGGAGTGTTGCTTTTATCCTGGTAGGCACGAGATGGCCAGTACTCGCTCAGTCACTAGAATTACACCCAAGCAATAATAAGCCAGACTGGGTGCACCTGCTGGGCCTGTCTTCTTTAGAAAATCCTATTTTCTGGAAGCCCTAACCATTTATTGTCCTGCCCAAGGAGGGATCAGATAACAGCACTGAGGTGTGAGCTGACTAAGAAATTAAAAGTCTGAAATAATTAGTAAGATATAAAAGACAAAAAAAAAAAAAAAAACACAGGAAAAAAGTTTCACAGTGGGGCCTGATGAGTGGATTGGACCTGATGGGTCGGATCTCTAACAAAGGAAAGAAGCGACCCCATCCATGCTTTATTAATAGTGAAACACATCGAAGGGGGATTTATTGTGAGAAATTTTGCAAGATAAACAGGAAGCCAGAGGCTGTGGGGACTGGCCTGATTGGAGACCTGTCACTTGTGCAGTGTTCTTCCTTCTCCAGGCAGCTGGCGCCCCAGGCTGTTTGGACACACTGGCATGGCTTTCACTCAAGGGCAGCAGGCATCTGAACTCAAAGCTATGGGAACCCATAGGTTTCAAGTTAGCATGGACTTTGCCCATTAACACAGCAAGTGGCCCTGTCTTTCAGCACCTTTGCACTGAGAGAAACCCCACAGGGGAATCTAGCTGTCCAAAGCTGTGGAGTTCAAAGCAATGATTCATTTGTCCCTTGGATAATTTATGTTCTAGTGGCCCAAACTAGATCCTGTGACCAACACTAGATCACCTGACCAGCCATAGCTACTAAGGATACTGAGGCTTTGAATGCTTTTAAATGGCATCCTTTAAATAATCAAGATTTTGCTACTAAGAAGAGATGTATTAATATTGCTTTTGGAACTAGCAGTGTCCTGGAGTCTCAGCCCCAGCCCTGCCACCCTGGGAATTTGTTTCCTTCTGGGTGGGGGGATGGGGTGGAGAAGTGATGTGATTACCAGGGACATTAGAGTGGATTTGATTTGCTCCAACTTGTTGTTGATTCTAACAAGAAGAAAGAAACAAATTAAATCAGATCAGCATAATTCCTCTTAATTGCTCTAAGGGACTCTCCTTTTCAAAAAACTAAACCTGTTTCTCTTCATCTGCACCTCATTATATATCTCTGTTACTGGATCTGTGGTATGTTTGTGAACTTTTTAAGTTCTTAACTCTGGCAAACTTCAAACAGAGTCAAAAGTACAGAACAGTGCACTGAATCCCATTACCCAACCCCAACAATAGTCTACTCAGTGTCAAGGTCATTTTATCTACAGCCCCACCTCTGTCCACCTCACGTTATCTTGAAGCAAACAGGAGATATGTATCACACTATCTGTAATTCTCTATGTATCTAAAAGGAAATGAATTCTGACAAACATAACCATAAGACACCATTATGAAACCTGCAAGAACAGTCCCTTAATGTCACCATTCATTTCAAAATGTGTTGGCATTGGTATTAAAATAAAGCCCAAGTATTTTGATTCCTTGATAGAACTTTAATGTCTCTTATAAAACTATGACTTTCCTTTCCAACTTTTATTTTTTTTTTTTTAAGACACCAGGTAGTCTATCCTGAGCAGTTTCCTTCAGTCTGAATTTTACTGATAGCATCTCTGTGGTGGTGTTTGATATATCCCCTTTCCCTCTCCATTCCTACAAATTAGAAGTGAGCTCTAAATTCCACCAGAGGATTGACAAAGCCTAAGGCCCAGTCCCCTGTTTTGGGAAATAATGGGTTTGGTTTTTTAACAGAGCCATGTCCATTCATTTCCAAATTGTCTGTGGTTGCTTTCAAGCTACAGTGGCCAACTTGAGTCATTGTGGCAAGAGCTCATGACCTCAGAAACCTAAAGTACTTCTCTGGCCCTTTAAGAAAAAGTCCCCCTCACACCCAGCTCCCGATGCAGAGGTTGAGCCCATGTTGTGGCCTGACCCTCTGTAGCTGGCATGTGTACATCCACTGGGTGGAACATGATGTCTGGTTTTTCTCCCTCAGTGCTATGTTAGCAGTCATTAGTGATCCTTGCTTAGACCTAGATCTCTTAGTTCATTAGGGAAAATAAAGTGGTGAATTTAAACTTCTAGTATTCCCTTTATGTAATATTCAGAATGGTTCTATTAGATCAAACTAATTCATTAATAATTCGCTTACCCTGAGCTATAGTTTGCCTAGAAAAGATAACTGCCTAATTATTATGCTTTCTCATTTTGAAACCAGTTCTCAGAATATCAAATTGATTCCCTCATATCTTTCAAAGGTCACCAATGTGTTGTTTCCTACCATGTTGAAATTGTGTTTGAAACACAATGTGTTTCATTTCTTATCTTTATTGATGCTAAAATTGTCCTATGTCTGGTCACAGTGAGGCAATTCAAATGAACTCCTGAGTGGTCTTGACCTCGCCTTAATAAACTTTCTTGCTTTTTGGTATAATAAGAGGCTCCAGTCTTGTCTTATGCATTTCTTTGTCTATGCCCAGGATCAAACATTTCTCTGAATGTCTTCGTTTCTTTGAGTGGGAAATGGTATTTAGAAACTGCAATCTAGATTGTAGGGATGTTCATTGCTTCTGAGTCCATCATTGTTTCTAAGAATTTTTTTTAAGGTAAATACATCAAGTGCTCATATGGATACTTCTCATTCTAATTCAGGGCTAAAGGATTTTTATTATTTCAGCAATATTGCGTTTGTTTCCCCCCTTTTATTCTCCATAGTGACAAATCCCACTTCTGTAATACCAACATGATGATACATTTGCTTTATTTATCCCACAATGTAGTTACAACATTTGAATAACGTTACTACTAACAATGATTTGAATAACACTACTACTACTACTACTACTACTACTAATATGATTACTGAAACAGAGATTATTTTCAGTGCTTTTTGCCTTATGTTATATTGTATTAGGTATATATAAAGTCAAATTACCATCCTTTAAAGTCCCTTAGAATAGTCCCTCTCTTTGTGGTTATACTACTAGATGGATATAAATGTCAATTCATTTGTTTTTGTAATTTGTTTTTTGAAATTGTTTTTGTAATTTGTATTATAAATATCGAAAATAATTATGGATCCAAAAAATATCTTGATTTTCTGTCCCTGTATTCTGTCCCTGTCCCCTTCATACAATTCTCTTCTTCCGGTTCTCCCCAATTTTATGGATGAATACTTCATTATTTTTTACTTATAAGTACACACATTAATACACTACCCTTTTTGGATAAGATAATAGCATGCTCTGTACCTTTTCCTCCACCTTACTTTTTCAATCAACATTATTGTGTGGATTGGC